ATCAGTCATGTTGCTTTTTGATTTACTATTTTTGCATATACTATTTCAGGGGGGGAGGGTAGTGATTTTGCTACACTTCCACCAAAACAAATGTGAGCACCTTTACATCATTTTAAAACGACAAATATAACTTGCTTGTAAGTGTCAGCTCTAGGGAGATATTGACAAGATAAATGGAAAACTTCACCTTCTTTGTCATCCTCATACCATCTATTTAGGCAAAGCCAGAGAAGTTGCATGGTTCTTTGTAATGTGCTTTGTCAGCTAGGAGACACTGAGCTTTTTCAGACTTCCATGAGACACAAATTCTGAAAGTCTCTTTTTCTCCTAAAAGTATCAGTCAGTTTAGTTCCCTGTCTCCAAGCCTCTAGTATCAAAGGGGACTGTAGGCACGAGCAATAGTGTTCCATTAACACCTCATACTCAAAACTGAGGACATGGTTACAGTCCTTTGGGTGCCTGTTTTGGCTTTTATGCTGATGACTGGGAGAAGGGAGATGTGTTCCACTAAGGGAATAAGAGTGCAAGCCACGTGGGACAGGGTAATAATCCTGCTGTCTAGTGTGTTGTGATGTGTTCATAATCCTCCACAAGCAAGCTGAGAGGAAGTTCATTGGGAATAGATGGGTAACTAGGACAAAAACTTGGCTTAAGACATTACAGGTGTATTTCAGCAATATATATTAGTGATAAATTTCATATTATAGAACACATAGGAAAGCACAGGAGACACAAAGCCTGCCTCAAGGAATTTACGTGATCCAAGAAGACAAGAACTAAACAGCAGTTAAAATACATAAAGCAAAACATGACCAGAAGCTGGCACCATAAAACATTAGTCCAGATATTCTACTGTGGTTTTAATTTGGTAAATCTAGTATTGGGGAGTGTTGTTTTATAACTCACCACCCCTCTAACTCCGAGTGAAACTTTGGTGCATTCAGTTTAAGGATGTGTATCACTATTAATAAAGAGTTCAGCCCTTGATGTAGGCTGCTACAGCCCTGGTAGCCCATATGTATGGTCAGCCCAGGGAACCTGAGCTAAAAGTTGCTAGTGCAATGGCCTGGGGCCTGGTACCAGGCTGCAAGAGCCCACGGCACTCATTTTCCCTAGTGGCCTAATTCAAATTCTATCTTACATATTTATATGCACAAAGTAGAATTACATACTTGCTCATTTTGGAAAATACGTTCTTCTGTATTTCTGCGTGCTTTGCTAAACAGTGTAAGGGAACTTGAAGCTACTTTGGAAGTGCAATTAAATAAGGACCTGTGTATTATGCTGTCTACATTTGCATTTGTGAAGCACAGTAGGAAAATAATGCCAGCAGTTTCCATTTATAGACAATGAATGCAGTCTTGGTGTTTTGGGGTTTCTATAACATGCTGAAGAGAATAAGAATAAATTAAACTGACCCACCCTGCATATATACAAAAGATGGGTTTTTCCTGCCAACATTCAATTTCCACAGCTGGGACAATATAGAAAATAAAATACTGTGTAAGGAAATAAATCTGCTACTGAATCAGAATGGGCTTTACTGCCTGAGTGACAATCAGCTGACATTCAATTATCACATTAATTGAAGTAATGCAAGATAGAAATTACTTAATTCCATAACTATATGCTCCTGTCAAGTTACTTATTTAACAATTGTTCCTTGCTTGATGGAGGACAGGAAAATGACCTTATAAGAGACTTCTGAGATGCTAAAGTTAAATATTCCCACTATACACTATGGATAAGCTACAGAATGGAACCCTGCTTCTTGAAACAGGAAAAATGTTATATGTATTATTGGATATGCTGTGTTTCAAAATTTGGCACTGTCTTAATCAAGAAACTCAAAAGAGTTGATGATGACACAAGCTTTTTTCTTCCCTGAAAGTGCTGCAAGGATGCAACTCTGTTATACTTACTACAACACAAAACTATTTATGCCTGAGGGCTAAAAATTCTCACAGCTGCAGAAAAAAAAAAGAAGTTGAGAGGAGCAGCTGACTTGCTCATACCTGTTTGAGGTGCTGCTGCAAATGCTGAAGATGCTCCCTACTTGCCCTGCCTTCATAAGCCCCCAGTGCAAGTCCAGTCTAGCACGAAGTCTTTGAACTGGTACCCACTGCCAGGTTCACATTCATTTGCCTTCAGAGAAAAATATTGACAGCCAGACCTTGTTGCTACTCATGTTGCCATGTTGTTACTCCCCAGACAGACAGAATTTACCCTAATTTTTAGTCTAAGCCAGGACCGATCAGAATTTCCAAAACCAGCATGAGGATCATCAGCCTACTTGTATGCTGAGCTCAACAGTGGGCACCCTCAAAAGGACAATAGCATATAGTCAGTGAGAGCTCAAGCTGTTGTCCTCAGAGGACACACCAATGCCCCTGCAGGGACAAAAGGTGAGCTGATTGCCCTTTGGACAAGCCAGCCTGCAGGGGCCTTTCTTGCCAGTGCAAAACATCAAAGTAGTCTGGGGTCATCTAAAACTTTTCCCCACCCAGTAAGGACTTTTTTTGACTGTAATGAACTTCTGTTACATGGTTAAAGTTTATATTACTAGGGAAGACATGGTGTTCACATGACTATTACTCTTTCACCAAAAGATCCAGAAAGGAGGGCAAGACAGTGTGTACACTAAACATGTTAGGTGCATAGGTAGGAAACAATGTTTCTATGAAGTAGTGATGTTTTAGATGGAGATTTACAGAATTGTTGTTAACTTCCAATTATTGAGTTAACCTTGTGCAATATGACTATTTGCAGGAAAAGTCAGGTCCCAAAGGACTCTTTCAATTATGCTGTGACTGTAAGAGCACAGCAGGAGTGTCTATTTTTTATATTTGTGTAATGCAAAATAAAACCCAATGTGGAAGCAGTAGATACATGATCTTTTGAAGAACATTATTCTGTGTAAAATACTTTGTTCAGCTCTTTTTTATAAGCTGGCTATCAGAATGATACAGAGGCATTGCAATACACAAAGCAGTATAACTTAGTCTTTGTTCTGTAGGTCATGCTAAATTCATTTTAGCAGCTAGGAACAGACTGTTTTCTAATTTTTTATTGATTTTCAAAACAAATAGTAATTCCCTTAATAATCACAAGTGATTACAACTTTAAAAGTAAATTGTTACCTTTTTTTGTTTGTTTTGCAGAGCAGTAGGAAATCAGCCAGCACTATATATTTATCTTAATCTGGAGAAATTACAAGGGTGCAAAGATATGGTTTCACAGCTAAAACCAATCTCTTTCCCCTCTCTATCTTTATATTTACAATTTTAGAAGCCTAAGACTTCTTCGTTTCCATTATGATCTTTTGCTTCCCTGGGAAGCAAAATCTTTAATCCTTTTAGGCAGCCTCTGAGTTTTGCCAGCCTGTATCTGAGGTTTGTTCTGTGTCTGAAAGCAAAGCCTCAGTGAAACAAAAAATTGTTTTACAAGCACATTCTTTATAAAAATGGTGTTGTACTGGATCCTTCCAGCCTGACACTACCACTCTCATTTTGTAGTCTGCAACTGTATTGTCTTCTATGTGCACACTTTGTTCTGCCAGGTCCTCTCCATTACAGGACTGCTGGTTTTACTGGAGCATTGGAGGATCAAAAGAGATCATTTAATAAAGTTTGTCTTTCTGAGGAGATGTTTGTGTGTGTGTATGTAGCTGTGCAATTCAGTAGAACACCCCAAAATTGTCCTCCTAAATAGCTTTGCCTATCTTTTAGCTTTGAATCAATAGCCCAGTTAACTAGGCAGTGTGGAATGGGAGAGGGAAGGTGAATAGTATTTACTCTCTTCATGGAGGATTTCCACAGGTTGTGCATTTGGCTGGAAAAGTGAATAGCAGAGACTTAAAACTGTAGTTCCATTTTGTGTAATATTGTGGATCCCAAATGCCCATGCACACATGAATTAACCTCTGACAAGTTACTTATAAGTTGTGAAATAGCCATTTTCTTTCCCTTTATTTGTCTCTCTTACTTTTAAACTTTTAGATTTTTTTTTAAGTTTTTCCCTTGAACAAGGAAGGAGTCAGTTCTGCTTAGTTACATGAAACCAAGATGCTTGCATGACTCCTAAATCTACTTTTTAGATTAAAAAAAAATGAAGTAGTGAGAAACTCATAATATTTGCAAAGAGAAATGCTGACTTGTTCCTGAACCTGTCCCTGACATGGCTAACAGGAAGGCTGTTAACTAGGCTCCATGGGTCAGAAGCTGGTTCTCCTCCTGAGAACTTTCAACCCTAAATATCTATGTATGCTTTTCTAACATCATGTTACTGCAGCACTGTGAGGTCCTGCCTAACCCTGCAGATAATCTTTGATCTTGAAATCTGGACTGAATTGAAGTGATTCTCCAAGGTCTTTAATCTATTATGAGATTGTGCACATGCCACATTTTAAATAATTTGGTGAGTTGAGAGAAATGTACAGAAATAGATCCATGCTCCTGAGAAGTTAATTAGACCGATATGGGATCAAGACTGGAATAATGACTAACATTTATTATCCTTAGCGGCTCCATGAAGCTTCTTTGACTGCCCCCAACAGTTTATCCAGGGAAGAGAGAAAACCTCTTGGCTGATCTGTATGGCGCTGTCATCTCCTCCTTCACTCAGCTCTGATGTCTTTCTGCACATTCACATCTTCCCCAGAGGGTTTTAACTGGTCTCACAAGTGGAAGCCAGTGGAGAGGCCCACACCTGCCTTCCCCCCTCCCTAGTGGTCCCATTTGAAAATATGCTCCACACTGCACTTTGAACAATTAAACCTGAGCTGCTATGAGGGATATTGTTTATTCAGTACTGCTGGGTAGTTAAAGGGTGTTTCACAGTTGGAACAATATTTTCTTTAAAATATTTGATGTTTATTATTTCACTCTTTAAGCAATATGAGGAGGAAAGGCTGTTTACATTATGAAGATGCATGAGACACACCGGTGATATATAAAAACAAAACCAGATTAATTTACCAATGTGACATTCTTTGTTTTTAGGTATACAAAAAGAAAACTGAAGCTGCCAAGAAGGAATATCTGAAGCAGTTAGCTGCCTACAGAGCAAGCCTTGTATCCAAGGTAACACATAATGTATATACATACACAAATATATATAGTGACATATTGCAAACCATTTTCAGCATTTATCTGGTGTTGAGCACCACAGTATTTATTGCAAATAGCCTTGTTTGTTACCTCCTTAAACTTAGGCTTAAGTTTCAAATGCTCAATAAACACAGTCACCTCTCCATGAAAAGATACCCTTTCTCTTCTGGTCATAGAGGCAGCACATTTTCAGTTTGGGAGTAACAACCTCATTATGATAAATATGCCATGCCATGCTATCTACAAGGCAAAAAATTGTATCATACACAAAATGCCTGGGTTTGGTTTTGGGGTTTTTCTCAAGGACTGCTTTTTACCTTGAAATCACAATACAGAAAAATTCAAGCTCAGCTGACATAGCAAAATTTCACAAGAAAATGTGAGTTTCCATTTTACATGAAGCAAGGCATTTATGTGAGCACAGCACAGGTCACCATAAGACTCTTCACTAGAACACACCAGTGTGTCCTCAGGACACAGTAATTTTCTATTTGATTTATTCAAACATTGTAGTAGCCACAATTTTGCAATAGCCTCTTCATAATTTGTAATAGACTTTTAAATATGCTGAAGAATGTAAAATTTCTGCACTGTGTCAATGTGAAAAAACCAACTGTTTCAGAATCATGCCAGTTACAATCCCTTTCAGTCTCTCACAACAAATTTAGATATATTTTGGTTTTACATAAATTAAACTAATTTTAGAGGTAAAGATCACAGAATGAAGGACTCATGTCTATATATATGAGTACAACTTTTTTGTTAGTTTCAAATGGTTTTGGGGTCCTGCACCGTAATTCTCTGTATGTTATATTAATTTGTACATATTTCAGGGCATTAGTATATGACTAGCCATACAAGGACCTTTCATGCATCTTTCTGCATTATCCTAGTGTGTTTGGTTTGAATTTGAAAGTCTGAAATATGGGTGTCACCTCATTCATTTTTGGGGGTTATGTCTATGCGTTTTAATTTTTTTAGCTACCATCATAAATGCTCATGCATTTAGTTAAAGGGATTTGCAGGGTACCTTTAATTTCCATCTTAGAACTGGTTGGTTACAGAAATACTCACTGCCTTCAGAAAGACTATTACGTGCACACAAACCAATCTTTTTGGAGAAGCTTGCTTACTGGCAAAGGATAGGTCTAAAAACCTCAAAATATTCCAATAGGTTTTTAAGAAATACATGAAGCCAACTTTTCACTCGAGAAAATAACTCGGATGTCATTATTCAGCAGATCGTGGACTGCTTACATAACACTCTACATAGCTTAATTTTGAAATGGCACTTATAAAATATGACATTTTTATTTTGGAGGGTTTTTTTGGAAAGAGAAAAAAGTATATTATGGCATTTTCTGAGATTCGTTCATAGAAACAAATTTGGAAGATTGTTGATCAGTTCAGTGCATTAATCCATTTGTGCAAATATTTAAATTTGTTGTTGGTCAGAAAAGCACTGAAGCATTTTTTTAACTTTTAAGCAATTATTTAAATTCTGCCCATAGTGTGATGTTTTACTCTAGTGTGGAAAGTATAAAAATATAACCTTAATGAAGCTGAGCACTGATTGCTTACTCTCATGAACACACTCAATGAGTCTAACAGAGCTGGCATGTAACTAAAGCAAGTTCATTTCAGAATAAGGATGTAAAATACCCAGTTGTAATATAATATCAGTATATTCGACATTATTGTTGTTAAATATTTATATGGCACCAGAAGAGTTGTAGTTCTTTAGACAAGCCTGTAAGCATGAGGAAATATATATAATACATTATTAAGATTGTTTGGAGCCCATGTTGTCTTTTATGTCCATGTATTATATTATCATCCATAAAAGCTACTTTTAGACAATATTATTAAGATTCCAGGTCCTCATTCTCAAAAGTTTAGACGTGCCAAAAGTAACATACCTTTTCCAAAAATGCTTTAATACAATATAAATGATTTGCTCACATGATATGTTTTAAATTTTATACCTCACTCTGTGTGAGTCTCGTTTCATACACTTATAATCAGGTGTTCACCCTGGATCCTCCTGAGTTATATTTTCTGCATGTTGTTTAACCTTGCTTCTTTATAGGATTTTCTGTGCTGCTCATCCCAGTGGTGTTTTAGTGTAAAGAAATTCTCACTAATACTTGGGAGGAGGAAGTCTATATTGTCCATACGTTCAAACACAACTAAATCATTGTGAAATCAGCTTTTCAGTAATTTTGGGTGTTCTCCTTGAGACATCTAGAACTTCATTTTCAGAGTATTTTACCAATATTACACCCTTTATGTTCATAGAAGAGCTCCAATGACTTCAGGGTCAGCTGGTTGGCAGCTATGAGATGTTTAGTTGTGCTTCACATCACATGAGGCCATACTCTTGCTATCCAAACAATAGGAGTTAACTAATTATCAAACTTTCTTCCTTATCACCTCCCAGAGCACTCTGCCTGCAGGAAGAGGTAAGCACAAGCAGACAAGGATGCTGCTCAGGTCCCCTCTGTCCAGCTCAGCAGGTGCCTTACACCTTCCAAAGCAGCTGCTCTACCCATTTCCTGAGTTTTCAACACTGATTCTGCCACCTTTTTCATGAAATATTGCTGGTTTTTAAACAGCTAGTGAGTGTATGTCAGTGCTTGTGTGTGTTTTTCTGCATTCAAGTCTTTTTTTCTGAAAAGTGAGGAATGGACATATGCCATGTTCTACCTGAGTGGTCCAGACCTGGACCTAAATTCACTGCACCATCTTGGTTATTTGAGATTCCAAAATACTCAGAAGATGCAGACGAATGGGATAAATTTTCTTGGTTTTCATCCCAAGCTGTGGGGTGAGAGTAGAGTATCAGGGGTGGTAGTCTTCTCCATGATACTCAGACCTTTGCCCCCTTCCTCTGCTTTTTCCCTCTCCCTCTCCCTCTCCCTCTGGACCTAAATTCACTGCACCATCTTGGTTATTTGAGATTCCAAAATACTCAGAAGATGCAGACGAATGGGATAAATTTTCTTGGTTTTCATCCCAAGCTGTGGGGTGAGAGTAGAGTATCAGGGGTGGTAGTCTTCTCCATGATACTCAGACCTTTGCCCCCTTCCTCTGCTTTTTCCCTCTCCCTCTCCCTCTCCCTCCCCCACTCCTCTCCTCTCCTCCTTTCCTCCACTCTCCTCTCTTCACTGCAGACCTTGATTTCAGCCACTCTTTCTCCTAGTCTTTCTCTTGTCCTCTGCATTCTCACTTCTCCTTCATATGCTCATAGCCATGGATGCATTGTGAGGGAGACTGGAGATGAACATGAGGGAATGACTACCTGCTCTTGGGCGTAGAGAGAAGCCAGTACTGGGAAGGCTCACATGGAGGAATAGTCTCAGCTGCTTTCTCAGATGATACACATTTATAAATTTGACTGTCATTACATGGGAAGACAAGACACTAGTCCTTAACACAATCTGTCATTGTCCCTTCCTGAGTTCAAGTCTCTATTCCATTATATCTTGAGGAAGGGCACCCACATTTTTGGGACCCATATGGTGCCGTGCTCTGGGTGCATTCCTAACAAATCTGAGCAGTTCTGTTTGGAGTTTGTCACACATGCACAGAGAATTCACACACACACACACATAGTGTGTATAATTTCAGACTGTGTTATTTATCAAAATTGTAACTGAAAAGAGTGGAAGTGTCACCAGCAACTTCAGTCATAGGATTGCCAACCCATCTCTAGTGTAATTTTAAGTGCTTTCATGATGTCTTTATAAGATACAGCTACCATCCAGTAAATAAGGTAAACATAGGATTGTATAAATATGTCAGTTATGCATTAATCCCCATTCAATCTATCAGTATATTTCCTGTATTTTCTCCTTTTTTATAATGGTTGAAATTAATGGGTCTGTTGTTGAGTTTGTTCATGTGTGTAGGAATTGATATGTAAAGTAAAAACACACAACAAAGCATTATATCTTCTGCTATGCAGATTGCCATATTGCTTATAGTACTGACTAAGCCTTTGCATTGTAAACAAGTGTCTTTATATTTGCCCTTAGTTGCAACTTTTAGTACTATTCAGGTCCAGAAATGCAGTCTCTGGTATCTGGTAATTTGTACAGCATTACATAAAATGCTGTGAATTGCAATTTTACTTTTTCATAAAACAAGCACTTTTTCTAGCTTAACCAGCCTTTTTTCTGGCTGACATTAGAGGTTTTGCTGCATCTTTCAAATATATATATTTAATGCAGATATGTAAGGGTACATGTTAAATGTTTTTATATATTATATATGTTCATCTATGTATATTTATATAACAATATGTGCATATTATGTATTCAACATATATAATATATATAAGTGATACATATATGTATGTTAATTATAGCAGTACAAATGTAACTTTCAATAGTACAAAAAAGGTTTCTCTTCCCTGTTTGATTTTTTTTGGCTAAATGAATCTTTAATTCTCTCTGTGTAGTGATAGAGCTTCAAGTTTCATGCAGACATACTTTAGCAACTGTGGCTGAAGCTAAAAGCTCTCAGCAAGGAGAATAATGTTCAAATTCAAAATACTCAAGCATAGTTCAAAACTCCGATGCTGTATCTAAGTCAGAGTGGTGTCCTCACTTGACATTGCAGCAAACGCATTGGACATTTTTCAGTTTTGTGGACAGTGCAAATCCTTTAGACATGTAAAATTGCTTCTTGAAGTATATGGCAGACTTAGCTTTCTTAGTCCATCATCTTGCAATTGTGGTTCGTAAGAAAACAAAAGGTCATATCTAGTAAGACTGGCATTACCTTAGTGCCATTAGCACAGCAATTTGTAACCAGAGAGTTCTGGGCAACCAAAATATCTGTTACACTGCCTATGTTGTAATACAATTGATCAGCCTAAGGAATTCAGGTCTCTTAAAAATGCAGTGAATATACACGAAGAAGTTTGAGCTACTTGTAAATAGCAATATGGAGACCATGATTTTTTAAAA